ATTCTTTTATTCCTGACATACCTGTAGAAAGCTTTAGGGTTTTCCTTGATCCTACCTGCTAAAGACTTCTCATGTCCCCTCCTGGCTCTTCTTAGCTCTCTCTTTAGGTCCTTCCTGGCTAACGTGCAACTCTCAAGCGCCCTCACTGAGCCTTCACGCCTCATCTCTACACAAGCCTCCTTCTTCCTCTTGACAAGAGATTCAACTTCTTTAGTAAACCACGGTTCCCTCGCTCGACCACTTCCTCCCTGCCTGACAGGTACATACTTCTCAAGGACACGCAGTAGCTGTTCCTTGAACAAGCTCCACATTTCAATTGTGCCCAGCCCCTGCAGTTTCCTTCTCCATCCTATGCATCCTAAATCTTGCCTCATCGCCTCATAATTGCCTTTCCCCCAGCTATAATTCTTGTCCTGCGGTATATACCGATCCCTTTCCATCGCTAAAGTAAACGTAACCGAATTGTGGTCACTATCACCAAAGTGCTCACCTACCTCCAAATCTAACACCTGGCCTGGTTCATTACCCAGTACCAAATCCAATGTGGCCTCGCCTCTTGTTGGCCTATCTACATACTGTGTCAGGAAACCCTCCTGCACACATTGGACAAAAACTGACCCATCTGAAGTACTCGAACTATAGCGTTTCTAGTCAATATTTGGAAAGTTAAAGTCCCCGATAACAACTACCCTGTTACTTTCGCTCCTATCCAGAATCATCTTTGCAATCTTTTCCTTGACATCTCTGGAACTTTTCGGAGGCCTATAGAAAACTCCCAACAGGGTGACCTCTCCTTTCCTGGTTCTAACCTCAGCCCATACTACCTCAGTAGACGAGTTGTCATCAAACGTCCTTTCTGCCACCGTAATACTGTCCTTGACTAACAATGCCACACCTCCCCCTCTTTTACCACCTTCCCTGATCTTACTGAAACATCTAAACCCCGGAACCTGCAACAACCATTCCTGTCCCTGCTCTATCCATGTCTCCGAAATGGCCACAACATCGAAGTCCCAGGTACCAACCCATGCTGCAAGTTCACCCACCTTATTCCGGATGCTCCTGGCATTGAAGTAGACACACTTCAAACCACCTTCCTGCCTGCCGGTACACTCCTGCAACCTTGAAACCTTATTTATGACCTCACTACTCTCAACCTCCTGTACACTGGAGCTACAATTCAGGTTCCCACCCCCCTGTTGAATTAGTTTAAACCCTCCCGAAGAGCATTAGCAAATTTCCCCCCCAGGATATTGGTACCCCTCTGGTTCAGGTGTAGACCATCCCGTTTGTAGAGGTCCCACCTACCCCAGAATGAGCCCCAATTATCCAGGTATCTGAATCCCTCCCTCCTGCACCATCCCTGTAGCCACGTGTTCAACTGCTCTCTCTCCCTATTCCTCGCCTCGCTAGCACGTGGCACGGGTAACAAACCAGAGATAACAACTCTGCTTGTTCTAGCTCTCAGCTTCCACCCTAGCTCCTTGAATTTCTGCCTTACGTCCCCATCCCTTTTCCTACCTATGTCGTTGGTGCCTGTGTGGACCACGACTTGGGGCTGCTCCCCCTCCCCCTTAAGGATCCCGAAAACACGATCCGAGACATCACGGACCCTGGCACCTGGGAGGCAACACACCAACCGCGAGTCTCTCTCGTTCCCACAGAATCTCCTATCTGTCCCCCTAACTATGGAGTCCCCAATGACTAATGCTCTCCTCCTCTCCCCCCTTCCCTTCTGAGCAACAGGGACAGACTCTGTGCCAGAGACCTGTACCCCATGGCTTACCCCTGGTAAGTCATCCCCCTAACAGTATCCAAAACGGTATACTTGTTTTTGAGGGGAATGGCCACAGGGGATCCCTGCACTGTCTGCCTGTTCCCTTTCCGTCCCCTGACTGTAACCCATCTACTTTTTTCCTGTACCTGAGGTGTGACTACCTCCCCGTAACTCCTCTCAATTACCCCCTCAGCCTCCCGAATGATCTGAAGTTCATCCAGCTCCAGCTCCAGTTCCCTAACACGGTTTCTGAGGAGCTGGAGTTGGGTGCACTTCCCGCAGATGAAGTCAGTGGGGACACTAGTGGTGACCCTTACCTCCCACATTCTACAGGAGGAGCATACAACTGCCCTAACATCCATTCCCACTGTTCTGAATTCCCAAACAGACAAATTTAAAAAAAATATACACGGTGGCACAGTGGTTAGCACTGCTGCCTCACAGCGCCAGGGACCTGGGTTCGATTCCAGCCTCGGGCGACTGTCTGTGTGGAGTTTGCACATTCTCCCCGTGTCTGCGTGGGTTTTCTCCGGGTGCTCCGGTTTCCTCCCACAGTCCAAAGATGTGCAGGTTAGGTGGATTGGCCATGCTAAATTGCCCATAGTGTTCAGGGAGGTAGAGGGTGTATATTAGGTGGGTCATGGGGGGATGGATCTGGGTGGGATGCTCTGAGGTTCGGTGTGGACTTGTTGGGCCGAAGGGCCTGTTTCCACACTGTAGGGATTCTAATTCTTCTAATTCTAAAAAGTAGCCTTACCAAATCAGCGCTCAGAACCTTTTTTTTGGTTAGAGGAGGAGGATGGGTGGGAGACACTACCTAGGTAGTGTTTCGGGTAAAGCAACCGCCCAAATATATTACCTCACTTACTCCAAAAATGGAGTCACGCGAGGTAAAACTTTTATAACCGAAAACTGAAAACAACTGAAAGCATGGGCTAAGGAGTGACATGGAGTTTAATTTAGATAAATGTGAGATGTTACATTTTGGAACGGGAAATCAGGGCAGGATTATATACTTAACGGCAGGGCCCTGGGGAGCATTGCCGAACAAAGAGACCTAGGGGTGCAAGTGCATAGTTCCTCAAAAGTGGAGTGACGGTGGTAAATGTGGCGTTTGGCACACTCGCCTTCATTGCTCAGAACATTTGCGTATCGGAGTTGGGACATCGTGTTACAGCTGTACAGGACATTGCTGAGGCTACTTGTAGAATACTGCATACAATTCTGGTCTCCCTGCTATAGGAAAGATGCTATTAAACTTGAAATGGCTCAGAAAAGATTTACAAGGATGTTGCTGGGCAGGCTGGGACTATTTTCACTGGAGTGTCGGAGACTGAGGGGTGACTTTATAGAAGTTTATAAAATCATGAGGGGCATGGATAAGGTGAATACCCATAGGTCTTTTCCCCTGGGTAGGGGAGTCCAAAACTAGAGGGCATAGGTTTAAGGCAAGAGGGGAAAGATTTAAAAAGTGACCCTAGGGACAACTTTTTCACGCATGTGGGCACGTATGGAACGAGCTGCCAGAGGAAGTGGTGGATGCTGGTACAATTTCGATATTTAAAAGGCATCTGAATGGGTATACAAATAGAAAGGGTTTAGAGGAATATGGGGCAAATGGGACCAGATTTATTTAGGATATCTATTTAGGTTGGCATGGACAAGCCAGACTGAAGGATCTGCTTCAATGTTGTATGACTCTGTAGCAAGTATGTAAAACACTGACTTCAATCTTGTTTGAAGCACAAAACTGTGTTGCTGGTTATTTTAAAACTGGAATTTCAAACATTAAAAGCAGGCCATGGGCGAACTTTAGGGAGATGTCTGCTGTATGGTCATGGCAAGGACACAAATGTATCAGCTGAGGAGGCTGGAAGTTCAAGTACAGAAGGAACAAGAAGGGTCACATAAATTTGCTAACAAAGTCAAATCATCTTTTATTTTAAGAAATCTGTCTGCACAGAAATTTCAAATAAAGAAAAGATGGGGAACAATTCGTAAATAGACCCTCAGGTAAAGTAACCAGCTAATACATTATCCATTTATTTGATACAGTCAGCGCTAGGACAGTGTGTGCCGTTACATGTACAGTCAGTGCTGCACCAAAACTACTTCTGATAAATAACCTTCAATGCTTGAGTAAGCATGAGAAGACAGTCCCAATAATGACTATAACTGTGCTTCCAAACCAGTTCATTCCGCAGTCAAGAATCTCAGTGTAAACGGGGTCACAAAGTCAACTCTCCAGAAGCATCTCCCTATCTGCACAGCGTGGAAACCACCAGCTTTGAGTGACCCTTCACCAAAACCCTACATGAGAGAACCCACATGGACATGGGGAACGACATGGTCAGGACAACGGTCTGAAGCCTTCCAGAGACAGATGGCAGCAGAGGGTTTCTTTCCCCCCCTCTATTCTGTCTGTGTAAAAAGGCTGCATGAAAATTAACATTGTTACTTAATCACAATAATAGTCACAATTTGATTGATCAGAATGCGCAACAGTGGAGACTCGGAGACAAAGCAATAATTTCAACTACAAATCCAGCCCTAACGATTTGAAAAGGAAGTTCAGAAATATTTTGCTTCTCCAAGATTGGTGACTTTCCCAAAGCTTGGTTTCAGAAATACCTATGGAGAGGATGGAGTTGAAGGGAAGGGTGCCAGAAGGACAACATCAACACACGAAAGGGTCAGAGATTTCTGTGATTTTTTTTTTCTAAGACTAATCTTGGGTTTTGAAAACATGTAAGATGTAGTAGAAAGGAAAACCTAGGAGTTTCATACATTAGAAGTCCTGGGAATAGAAACGAATTTGAGTGGATGACAGTACGATCAGTTTGTGCCCTTGACACACACTGCTTCCCAGTTCAGCAACATCCATACTTAAAATTTTCAAATCCCTCCACTACTTTGACCCTCGATATCATAACTTCCTCCAGCCCTCAGACCCGCTCTCTTCTAGTTCTGGCTTCTTGCACCAGTGTTATCACTCCTTCATCAACAACAGCACCAGCAGCTCCTGGGGCCCAAAACCTCTCCATCCATCTATCTATCTATCTCTCCATCCATCCATTCTCATTCTCTCTCTCTCACCCCCGCCCCCCCAACCCCCATTAGGATGTTTATTAAAATAGCTTCTTCGACTGTGCTTTTGGCCATCAGTCCTGTTGTGTTACCTGATTCAATGTTGAATTTTGTATGATAACACACCTGTGAAGCAGCTTAGGATGTTTTACTTTGTTCAAAGTATAAACAAAGTTATGGGTGTCAATACAGTGAGGGGTTAGTGGTCAATTGCAAATTGTGACTACAGTTAGATAATGCCAGCTGTTAATCCCAAGGATAACAAGTTAATACTTTCACAAGAGCTTCCTTTTATTCTTTACTTACACAAGGTATGGGTCTTTTGCCAGCATGTTGCCCACCCCCAATTACCTTTGGAGTGAGTGCTCCATCCCAGAAGGCATGCGACCAAGGGTCTAGAGTCACACGTAGGCCAGATTGGGTAAGCATGGCAGATTTCTTTCCCCAAAGGACATTAGCGAAGAGAACGGGGTGAGGGGGGGG